GAAGATGTCTTTGATCGATATGTGCTATAACTACGGCATCAGATGTCAACTTTTCACTACTTATCCCCATCTTTGCCATCTCTCTCTCTCTCTCTCTCTCTCTCTCTCTCTCGCGTACTCACTCATTGCATATATGTTTTATTGCTGACCACAAAATAAAAGCTAACTTAGAGTTTGATATTTTCGTACATTTACTCTTATTAATAGTGGGTCTCCGAAAGTCTGAGGCCCACAGATGTGCCATCAAATCAACTCATAAAAGATCAATAATAATGCTATGACTTTGTTATGCACAGCACTGATAGTCTCTCTCTCTCTCTCTCTCTCTCTCTCCCTCTCTCCCGTACTTCTAGTATTGTTCGGCTAATGTGTGTCTATGTCTGCAAAAAAGTAGTAAATAACTCATTTGGTATATCATTCCTGTTTGGTTCTTGTCATTCACCCCAAACTCCAAACACTAAAAATTTCATACAATTATAAACTACTCTATGAAACGGATTTCAATTTTATATCAAGAATTTGTTGTTTTTATTACATCTCTTACCTCATAGGAAAGTGCAGCCAAAAAAAATGTTAAAAACAATTTTATTAAATGCTTTTAACGTCTGAATATATGGTACAATATTGCAAATGTGCGCCCAATTTAATAGTGTTGTAGTGTTTCTTAAAGTATTGCTAGTTTTGATTAATTGAATCTCTATTGCCATCTCTTCATGGGTGTGAGGCCTGGGCTTCAAATGTCAGATCAAACAAATTCGCTGCGAAATTCTCTCTCAAGTATTATTAAAATAAAAATCACTGTTTGTTGTGTTACTTGTGTTACTTCTGACAATATTCTGGGCAACTATTGATTGCATTGAAACTATCGGTCGATTCCGCCCTCACTTTACAATTATATTTCACTCGAAGCGTGCATATTATGGACTAAACAGTACAGTAGTCTCCACTCTATTCTACTCTAAACTACTTTAGAAATGCATTGCATTTGATTTTTTTCTTGAAAAAACACAAACCCCATGATTTCTGAATACATGTTTGTTTATTTTGGTGCCAAAGCCATGCCTTTAGTTAACGCTTCAATAATATACTGTATTTTTCTCTCTTAAATCTCTTCAGCACTTCTGTTTGGATGCATTCACTAAACACTACTTCTCTCATACTTTCTGTGAGTGGAGTAGACTTTCATCCGAAACCCTCTCCACAGCAGCACAAGAATCTGAGCCATTGATGAGATTAACAATTTTGTTAATCATAAAAATGTGTTGATTTAGATGTGAAGCCAAAGAAAAATAAGTAAAGAGAAAAAAGGAATTGAGAGGAAAAATCTTAAACCAAATATAAAAAGAGAAACAATAATAAGAATCAAATCAAATAAAGTGTCGATACATAAGAATTGAAGTGAAGGAGTGATGTTTGCTGTCATCACTGGTGTATAATTACTTTGACAAACAATTTTTTGGTGGATGTATTGCACAGTTTGGGTGAATAGAATCAATTGTAATTATTTAAGTGTTATCTGTAGTGAACTGTACACTACTGTGTGTATAGTGTACTGTATATAAAGTACAATTCAGTTGCAGTGCTTTCCCCCATCAAAATAGCTGAGCACTAGTACTGAGGAAAGCCTGGGGTAGGCGTCGATCTCTGGCTCGTAAGCAAACAGTCTTATTGGCCGCCTGTGAAGACGATGGGTCGGAGCAATCACTCGCTATATTATATCCGCCTTTTGGCTATCCATCACACATACAGTGACTTTATAGTAGGAGTTTAGGTAGTAGTGGCTGTAGTAGTGGCTGAGCACACATAACAAGGTTAACAAGACATGCTTAGCACCAGTAGGTAAAGAACCTATTGAGTAAAGCATTAAATTGAAGCCGTTTTGCGGTAGTTAAGGCTTTATAAAATCATAAGCTTATAGTTAGGATTAAAAGTACGACCAAAAAAAGTTACCATATTTTCACTCCAGTGTCTCTCTCTTACTCTCCGATCTCTTCCCCCTTTGCGAGCCATTAATCCGCTCGAATCGAGTGACCGAACAATTGTGAACACATTTATTTGTGGGTGAGTTTTCAAAAACCAAATCATATTAATTATAACTTTAATTCCAATATAAACTTTCGCTCTTTTTCTTCTTCTCTTTAATCCCATATTTATATATATTTTGTTGTGTAAAAAATTTGTCTCTCATTTATTAAGTTATTTTATTAAGTCATTGATATTAACACACCTTTTGCTGTTGAGACTATTGACTTAAAGTATGTATTAATCGCTATAATTATACAATACTATGTAACAAATATATGATGTAAACCCTTGTATAATCTGTTAAGCATTCAAATGATAACTTATGCTTACATTTTAAGACTTAATATTATACTACTATTAATAATACATCACTTCTTATACTTTGTTTATATTATAAATTTCTTTAAGAAGAAAATCCAAACTAATTTCAATGACATAATAATAAATGCAAAGAATGGGGTAAACAATGGCTGTATAACCAGAATAATTAGTACATATGTATATTTTATACTGTATATACAGTATATGTGTATCATATCGTACTTATCATATCAATAATATTATTGAGACTCCATTACCACTAAATTTTTCGGTACTTTTTTTTATTATCTCTAAAAGCATATGATTTTTCGTTGAGCCCATCAGTGGAATAGGATTGTTGAATACCCTGTAGTCTAATCTTTATCTCTCATCTGCAAAACATTCAATAAAAAAGTTTTATGTCGATTGAAAAGGGAGACAAGAAAACAAGATAGAGATTAGAGCTTTTCATATATGCATTCAAATATTAGATTCTGTTATCGATTCCATTGCTATTCCGTATGAAATGAATACTCCATTGAATACAATGAGAGAAATGTATTCTTTTAATCCAAAACATTGTGTGCACAACAGTATCGAGAATACTATACATTACAGTATATATGGTATTATTAGTTGTTTTTCTGTACCGATTCTTGCAATTCTGGGCCTATTTTTTTCGGGAGATGTGGTGAAAGTCATGTGATGACAGAGTGATGTGAACGCCGGAGTAGTAATACTTTATTATACTTTTTTGGCCAAAGACTCACTTTTTGCTACCTATTGTTGAGCAATGTTTGCACAGCTGAGTCCTGCCATACATTCTGACATAACTGAGGGCTGTTTTATCAGACTTCGCCAGAGCTCATAGAGTCCACAAATAGTGAGTCTTATTTATACTGTCGGACCCTATAATCCTAATAATGCGTTACTTTCATCACTTGTTTGGCACTGATTTTAACATTATTTCGATTGCGAGCTCCCATTGATTGGTTGGTCCGCGCTTTGACTCGTGTTATATCATATCATTTACACGACTCGCTGTCAATTGCATACAATTGTGCAAACATAACAAACATAGCATAACATACACTACTCTACCGTTCATACCGTATATATCCTCTTAAATGAAGGAGAAGTTAGTTTTGTTGCGCTTTTATTTTTAATGAATGCGAATCGCTAACAGTCCTTAACAGTGCCTAAGCCTTAACAGCCTCTCTCTCTCTCTCTCTCTCTCTCTCTCTCTCTCTCTCTACTCGAACCACTCTCTCCATCAGTCTCTCTGTGCTATCAGTCGACGACTGGAGCACTATTTGGTATCTTTTTCTTTCTTACGTTGGGATTAAGTGGGGATTAAAATATCAAATAATTGAATCAATTTATCCTTAAAATTTCATTTTCATTGGCATAGCATAACAGTTAGCCCGCACTCCACTTCCCAGACCTTTGCCTCTGCTCTACAGTATCTCTACTCCAAAAACTACTACTCAATTGATAATCCATTCATGATTTACTTACCCATTATTTGAGAGCTCTTATGCAGTATATTATTGTATATTATTTTATGTTTTATTTGTATCACAAAAATCGTAGCGCTTTTATCACCGAAAAAATGTTTCCAATAGTGAACACAATTTATGAATTGAGTGTATTTTAGTGTATATAGTGTTTATACAAAAACACAACATAACAGTGCCATCAGTTGTAAGGCTAACATCTTGAGAGTTTCCCATCTGATGGTCGACTAAAAGTGCATTATTTTCCATTAAGACCTGTTGGAGCAGAAAATAGGGAAGTTGTGATTGCACTCGCATTTACACATTAGCTGATGGGCTACCGATTCTCAACACCGATACTCTCAATCCCATACTCTATACACTATTCAATACAACAGTATATATAACACCCAAATACTGACTGATAGACCGTTTCCAACGCATAGATGCCCACAAAATCGGTCGCCTTTTAGACACTTTAGTTTCCAATTTTTCAAACTTTCCCTTTACTTCTATTTACTTCCCTTCCCCTCAAAAACAGATAAAAAGCGAACCAAACATTATTGCGGGGATTGTCTGACAATTTTCACATATCCATGAATGCGGTTATCGTGTGTTTAATGTAAATCTCAACCAATGCCTCAGTTAAGCAAATATTTGGCTAAAAATTAATAATAAGCGTTACGTCACTGAAAGTCATACCATTGATTGCAGAATGTAGACCAGAATTAAACTCAAATAAAACAAATACTTGTATCTAAAACATACAATCATCAAAAAGTATCAGATTTAATATATTTTAAAATTTAGTTTTCACGGTTAAAATTTTTAAAAATCAAATCATATTATATGAATGTGAGAAGAGATTATGAAATATTAATACCTCGTTCGGCCGAACCACTCAATAGTTTAGCCAAACACTGTCTCTTCAGTTTATACAAGCGAATGAGTGCTGCATTGGAGTGCATATACAGAATATAGCGATGAATATTAAATATTATTATCAATAAAAAGCAGTGTTTGTGAGTAATATGTAGTGAGGAGTAGAGAAGGGAACGTAATATTTGATAAAAATTTGTCGATCAAAATGAGAAAATGTTGGTCAAAGTTGTTGGGAATTTGATAGTCTTATGAATTGGCGACAGTTATAAAGTGACACAAAAAACTCTAAACTAAACAATGAGTTGGGCTCTCATTCACGGCTCGCACCCATACAAAGACCTAATGGGACGACACGTAACCAAAAACTTCTTTGAACAGAGAGGAGAGAAATGTTTCCGAATAAACGTAACAATCATTACAGGTGTGGTCTCTGACAGAGTGGTGAGCCTTATGTTCATTGTGTCATCGGTTTGTATATTTAAAAAAATATACATTTTGTACTCAAATATATATGCAATCAAATTGAATGTATTTTAATCGGAGGAATCGGTGAGTGGTGTGAGTGAGAGGTTGATGTGTATGTGTGCGGAGGTTCAGGACTCGATGCCAGAGAACTACTGCAGGGCTTTTCCCTTCGCTTCTTGTGCTCTGATGTTAAGGCAAAAAACAACCGAAAAAACAGAGCCAAGTGTTTCTCTTATCATTGAATACATGTGTCTTTTCTGGCAAAACTGTTTGTCAGAGAATCAGTGGTACTAATCAAACAAAGAGAGAGAGAGAGAGAGAGAGCCGGCAGATTTGGGCTGACGATTGAAACAGAGATCGTAGAGACATGTCATGACAAGAGACGAACAAATTTGATGATTCGGTCCATAACTCACTTTGTTTTTCATGCAAATCGTGTTTTTCTGTATATTTTATTTATTTATTCATTAATAAGTAGATCATAAACGTCTCCACAAGTCCTATACGTCGACATACCTACCGGTGCTTAGGGAGGAAAGCGGTGAATAAAAAATCGTTTGATCTGTATTTTCTTGTTGTTCTTGTGGTGCTTAATGTCCGCACAAGACATCATTGAATGTCTCATTTGAGGCGCGCTTTCATCTCTTTGAAGGATTAAATGAATACCAGTTTATTATAAAATATGAGTTTTTTCTTTAGGTATTTTCAATATAATACTCAATACTGTTGTTGTTCTTAAGGGATGGCCATCTGATGAACTGTTCAGATATGGACTAATATCTTGAGCCACAAAAAAGTACAAAGATTTTGTTTGCTATCAGTTTTTGATCCGTATGTTTGCAATTCATGGCATACATGCAGAGAGTGATGTCCTGCCGTATAGTTGTGTGCAGTGTATGACATGGTATGGCAATACTGTATTTGCAATATAAACTTGGTCATCAGTGCCGGCGGGCATTTGGCCCAAACAGTACAATGGAATCTGAGTTGAAAAGTTTGAAGGCATAGATAGGTATCCATTGGTATCAGTGTTTGTCATGTTGTATGTATGCATAGCTGTATCGGCCCAGTGGTGACAATACAGTGACAATACTTTGCAATATTGGTATTGGAAGTGTTGGACAAAGCCTTTATTCACAGTAAAAGCGGTGCAAAACCTGAAATTCATCGAAAGTTTCCCATTCGGCTCATTGCACGCGTCACTTCATATCCGTGTTTGCATAGCCTTTCAATACCTGGACATACCATAGCCTCCAATCACTATATACTACTAGCCCTGGCTATAACCTATGCCCTATCACTCCCTAAACAGTACACATGTATATCCATTAGTGATACTGTACTGAAAGTCAAGGTATGCGTGCATTTGATGAGCAGTTCCTATAAACAGGTGAACGATAGGTATTCCTAAAGGTATTGCAATGCATATAATAGAGAGAGCTTTTAGTGTTTAATGACAGGGAGAGAGAAGGAGAGAGACATTGGGAGCGATTGCTGTAAACAATGCTGTTTGAAGTCTTGTGGTTATAATGAATATAATGAACATGAAGTGAATCCCCATTTGTTGAACACTAACTATATGTGTATTTCTCCTCCCAATCCACTCCCATAGTCCGCATCCGCGCACAACTTGATTGACTGTCTGTGCTCTCCGGCTCCTCGACAACAGTTTCACACATCTCTTCGTCAGTCAACACAAACTCAACGCTGGCTTTCCAGCCAATGTCCGCGTCGTGTAATCCATTTGGATCGGGTGTGTCGTGCCATCAGTCGGTCGGTGGCGGTCACCCGGCTATGGCTTACCTCAAGTCCAGTCCGTACGCCATGAACGGCATCGGCATCACCAACGCCTCATCCGTCGATCTCTTGCACTCCAGTGTCGGATATCCCGGTGAGTCTCATATCTCTTATCAAAAAGTTCCCAAACAATACACTAAACTTCTTTAGTCCTGTATTTTCAATGCATGTATTGATGTATCATTTGTTACACTTTCACCCAAAAAAGCTTACGGCTTAAGCTATTGAACATTAAGCCAATGAAGCTTAACTCAGTCAATGATAATATACCATCGTGCTTCTTAATTGTGCTTAAAATGTTTAAAAATGCAAACTAATGTATAGTTATTTGTTTTGATGTAATGCATGATAAATAGTAATCGATTGGTTGTAAACATTGCTTAACAGGTATGCAAACTATCTATACATAGGAATACATATTTGCGAATATAATAAAGAGATGAGACTTTAAGTCCAGTGGCGGACACTGTGTTAGGGGTGGGGGAAGGCATGGGTTGTATGAAAGGTGGGGAATGAATGGTTGGGTGTGGGGGACAGTAGTGGCTTGGATGCAGCTGAGCATACATTGGATGCACACCTGACCCGTACTTCTACTCCTCAGTATATAAGTAGCACTTTTACAGAGCAATCGATTGATGTGTCGGTCATTTCGGGTCAACGCATTTGAGCGCACGTGCGGTATATTATAAGCACAACTATTTAGGCACAAAATGTTTTACTAAAAGCCCAGAAACACCCAAAACACCCCTCTCTTCATACATTCCGCACTAAATTCCATAACTATTTACTCCTTATTCTTCAATTCAGTGTACAGTCCAAACATTTTATGTCACTTTTTACTCAGTCCCTCTCTCTCTCTCTCTCTCTCTCTCTCTCNCACTCTCTCTCTCTCTCTCTCTCTCTCTCTCTCTCTCTCTCTCTCTCTATTCTCCTTTATTCTTGATTACAAATTCTTGTCATTGTATTCAATATTTTCTATTATTATTTTTTTGTTTGGATGTAAACAAGACTCGACTCATCGTTAGAGTTAAGCCCAACGAGTGGTTTGCTTTCAAATATTGAATTTAATATAAAAGAGTAAACATTTTGCAGAGACTGAGAAATATACAGAATATTTCATATATTTTCGGTACATGTCTTTATGATAGATATATAACGCATGAGTTGTACGAATACGAGCCAAAGGATGAAATTAAAATTTTGTTATGTTTGCAGAGAAGATATTGACAGTACATCTGATAATCCCCGGGTTATTGCAATGTCACTGATATTGATGTTGTGTAGTGTAAGGTATGAATGTCTGTATAAGACTGTGATAGAGTGTGCGGGGGTTTAACTACGGCTATAAAGCAACACCTGTCCCACTATAGCTTTTCTCACGTTTTGTCGATTCAATACATTTTGAATACAATTTGAAAGTTTTAAGACCAAAGAGGACGAGAGGTGTAGTGAACAGAACAGTAGTATAATATAGAGTATAAAATAGTAGAGTAGAGTAGAGTTGGTAACAAACGTCTCAATTTTGGTGACCAAACACCACAACTACAGCACAACTACAGCACAACTACAGCACAAACTTATTCTTTTATTTGGCATTGATTTCAAAACTATACTTTTCGGTACATTTCAATACCTTTTCTCTATGTTTCTAAAAACCTGGCGATACTTATAGCCGGAAGAGGGATTAGGATTATTGTTGGCCACAGACTACTGCCCACAATATAATTGCTGTCTAGCGATGAATGTGATACACCTTCGCCACCGCCACCCCCTCCAACCACTACCTCCTCAGACCCGCTCCACACATACGCTATAACTCCAACTCAATATCAGTGGCAAACAATGAGCCCTTTTTGGGACAGCTTTTAAATTCTCGACCGAATAATAGTAATAATAAAAATAAAAGAGCGCTAAAACTGGTCGACAAATGATTTGACAATTGAAATCTGTTTCCAGAATTGAAACATAAACTCGAAAAACTTTTCAATGCATTTCAGGCGCACAATATGTGTGTCGCAAGTCGTGTATTAAATAAGAGGAGGCAATAAATGTGTTGAAGCTTTTATAACAGGCAAAAGAAAAAAATCTCATTAATTTATAGTTTGCAATGAAATGAAGTGGTTTTTCAGTCATTAATTTGCTCACAAAATCACTTTTTCTTTCCCGCCATCGTTGCTATCTATTTGCTATCTCTATATAAAAACGTGTGTTTTTCTACACAGAATTGTGTTGACAAATATGTAGAAAATTTTGTACATTTTTTGTAGTCTTATTTGTATAGATTTCTAAGAATAACACTTATTTAGTTTGCGTTTTTGCAGAATTACATATACCTCTCAGTGTATACAAAAAGTGTGTTATTTGTTCAGTAAACTGACTGCCAGTGTTTGGGCCGGAATCCAAATAAGGGATTTCATCTATCAAGAGATAGATGCCATATATCAGCCCAAACTTCATTGCCTATTTCTCTTTCTCTCTCTCTCTCTCTCTCTCTCTCTCGACAAATAACTCACATTTTGTGCCCGTTTTGCACAAATTATTTATATACTGTTCGCTACTTATAAGTACATATAGTATATACCAGTGTATATACAGAGGGGAACGACTTCTCTAATTGTATTGGATATTCCGCTGAGATTTCACGCTAATGTGCCCAACAGTACAACAGTATAGTCTAATGGATATACATTTGCAAACAATCAAATTGTTTGTGATTTTTATAATTTACTTATTTCTGCATATTTTGCAATTTAATATACTCTACACCTCTGTCTCCCTCTCCCCTAATGGATATATGAAAGTGAAACTATTTATATATCAAAAATTCTATCATTTAATTTATGGCCTAATATAAGTATTTTAAATGCATTAATTATATGGCAAACACCTCATTATTTATGCCGTTTTTCTTGTTAGTTATGCTATGTTTGAGCTAATGATATGCATATATAATATAGAGTTTATTTTTGTTGTGCAAATGTTGTTATATTTGTGCAAAAAGTGGATGAATTGATATTTTGTTGGCCAATACTATGTTTTGGCGAAACTATATCCAGGGTTTCGCTTATTATTCATTTTTGGAGAACTGGTTAAAAAAGATGGACAGAGGGAGGACTGGGACTGCCTATTATGTCAGAAATGTTTAGGCTATTAGTGCCCAGATTTGCAGCAATTTCGCTGTCCATAAGGAATGCAATAGTGTTTGGCAATGATATGGAGGTAAAGTTGAGGTATAGCTTTGCAATGCAGGTGCGGATGGGTTTAAGTCTGTATGGATTTAAAAGTTGAGAAATTCTTTCTATTATTTGGATGTTTTCAGTGCGATATTGACCGCCAGTTTCAGTTTCCAGCGGACAATGCAATGCTTGAGTCGTTTACCTTTTTTTTGCAATAGAGATGATCCTTATGTCACAACCCATAGGCCATAGAGGTTTCAATATTGAAAACATGTCTATTCTTTTGTCGCATTAGACGTTAAAAAACTTAATCTCTTTTCTATTATAAGTTTGTGTTCTTATAAAATATAAAAATAGAGATTATATGCCTTTGAGTTTCTTTTTGGGGAACAAATAGCCGTCCGATATATATATTATATGTATAAATATATGGATCGGTGGTATGGATGGTGCAGACAATCGGACAATTTGCAGGTTATTTCAATAATGCAGTTATGATGCAAAAGCAGAGCATATCTACTATTTTCATACAATTTTTTACATGCAATCTATTATATTATGCTTTCGTTAATCTCATCTTAAGATGAAAAGAGTGGCGTTTCTCTCTGTAATAGTTACCAGCGCTGAGCCCATCATCGCAACCAATCATATATATACCGGTGCTTTATTGCATACATACAGCACATATACAAAACATATTATAACTCAAAAACTATTAATATCACAAATACAGGATTAAGTTTGGCTGACTGTAAGGGAAAGCCTTATATAAGATATGTGTGTTTCATACGAGCACATCGTTGACAAGCAATTGAATAGTCGTATGCGATATACACCCGAAATGCCAGTTCGAGTTATACTACCTTTTGAGTTGTGCTAATCCTTCAGCTGCATATGGCTTTGGCCGACAGACCCTACAGGCCTATCAAGCCTACAGCCGACTCGACCCGCGTGTGAACACCATTACTATATCGTAACCGACAGTTGGATTAAAATCCACGTTTCAATGCAAAGCGTTTTCACTACTTCTCCCCAAATATAAAATAACAATAGATTTTATTTCAGTCTATAGTTTGGATCTATTACTCGACAATTCATTTCTTTCATACTCTACAAGAATATACAATATTTTTCAATCAATTCTAACGTTTGCTGTTTTTCTGCTCAAAACATTTTGCACTAAATTCTAACGTATATATGAAAATGACTGACAAATCCAATACTATTCTGGCCTATAATTCTCGTTCATATATATTATACATGTTTAGTAACTCTTAAGAACTTAATTGGTTTTAAATTATAAGATTATATAAATCATGGCATTAGTTGTGTTCAACAAATCAGTTATGAATTGCATATAAAAGTCAACGTTTTTCAGCGAATGACATAAAAATGTTTTGTTTGAATAATTTATATTTAACTCGTTTTCAATTAATACTACAATTAAATGATAGCATATGTTAGACACGCGTCTCATAAAATGTATTTGTTTTGTATATTCTAGACATGTATTTGGGAACTCTTTCGCCCAATAATCCCAATCAACCGCCGAGGAAGCAAAGAAGGGAGAGAACAACATTCACGAGGGCTCAGTTGGATGTGTTGGAGGCTCTGTTCGGCAAAACCCGTTATCCCGACATTTTTATGCGAGAAGAAGTGGCGCTCAAAATCAATTTACCAGAATCTAGAGTTCAGGTACTATTCAATACACTTCTAGTCATTGAGTTTATTAACTGATTTTAAATGTATGTTTAAAACTAAAAGGTTTGGTTCAAAAACCGAAGAGCAAAGTGTCGACAACAGGCACAGCAACAGCAGAACGGGACGAGCGGTGCGACAAAGACGCGACCAAAAAAGTCGAAGAGTCCGCCGCCTCCCGGTTCGGCCACAAACTCTCCGCCGGCGTCCATACATAGGGGAGACTCACCCTATAAGCCGCCGACTTTGCCAAACATAACGTCGAGCGGAAACGTCGGAAATCCGTTGTGTTCTTCCGTCACTTCCCATTCAAACAATTCTAGGTTTGTATTCGTTATTCATTGAGTTGTACTCAATATAGTGTTTAAACCATGTTTTTAATACGATATTTGTTTTTGTAACTCCAGTGCCAACGCTTATAGTTCCATATGGAGTCCGGCGGCCATCGCTCCGGTGTCTGACCTAATGTCGGGTAACAGTTGTATGCAAAGGGCGGCGGCCTATCACCACCACCCTATGGCCAGCAGTGCTCCTCAGACCACAGTCGCGTGTTATCCGCCTCAAAGTTACGGCCCGTCGGCGGCCTATCACTACGGAAACATGGATTACCACATGTCGGCGATGCCTCATCACACGCACTCCCAGTTGGGCGCCGCCACTACTATGGCCTCAACGCTGAATCAAATGAATGGCCCGAACATGAGTTCACATATGAATATGTCATCGCATGGTCTGCACCACAGCAGTGCCAACGCCCGCTCGCCGCCAATCAACGGCGGCATACCATCACCTAATGATTGTCTTGAGTACAATCCGGACACTAAGGCCGGTAACTGGAAGTTTCAAGTGTTGTGAATCCATTATTTGCTGGAATATATCAAACGCTAACTAATATTCAAAAGTTTTGGAAGATTTTTCTATCTAATTGTTTTCAAATGAATTCAATGTAATTATCATAAACTCTTAGCTGAAATTTTTTGCTTTATTTCAAACTATTCTCACGTGTAATATATTTTGATGAAAACAAATACATAATATTGTTATGATTTTATCATACATTTAGACCACTAATGCATAATTGAAATATTATTTTAAAGTTTACTAAACATTATTTAAAATTGAAAAATATTATTGATTTACATTTAAGAATTGGAATTTAATTATTTAACTTCTTTTATATTTATAACTATTTAAACGTATGAATGAATAAAAATAAATTATATGTAAAGATCTTTACAATTAAAACGATTTTAACTTTTAATGAAAACTAAATGAAAGGCAATATTACAATCAAAACAATGGTTTTCCTATAGAAATGTATCACAATTTAAAATTAAAGATTTCATTTTAGATTTTTATTTAAATTTTTTAATTTTATTAGTTTTATAAGGAATATTAAAAAGTAATTTTCTTGTAATTATTTGCCATTATTTACAATTGAAGGCAAAGTATTTCCATAACTGAATGTAAACTCAATAATATTTTTGAATAAAATTCTGTTTGACAAACACATGAACAATAATATTTCAGCATTTAATACCAGGGTAAACATGTCTATTGTTGTGTCTGTAAATGCTATTCTAGATAAGAAATGGGCAAAAGTGTATCAATTAATCAAATTTTCAAATTAAATAATTTATTTAAATATAGTTTAAAACAAGTTTTATAACACTTTCAAAAAACATAGAAATAGTTTTGAAAATTTATTTGTGATTAAATTGAAACTCAAATATATTATGTGCTCTCATTTGAAGCTATTTATCACAAGTTATACATATAATTATTGTAAATAAACTATAAAAATATGAAATAAAAACTAAATTTTGTAATAATTTACTTGTTTTGATTCTTTACTTGTGTTTTTTGTTGGTATTAAATACTTAAAGCAGTTATTGCGGCGCTTATCGTATAATACATATTAAATGCATTTACAGGTATTTTCACAATACTGTCATTGACTTTAAGATTTAAAAATAAATGTGAAGAGAGGATAGACTCTATCCGATAGAGTGAGTTGAATGAGAGAGAGAGAGATGAGTGGTGTCTTTAGTGATGAATATGTTGTCCACACTTTCGTTAGTAATCGACGGCTTAATTATGTCTTCGTTTCGCACAGCAATCGTCGTATAGATTTGGGCCTAAAATACAACATAACATGTGAGTTATATACTATATGTACTTATAAGTAGCGAACAGTATATAAATAATTTGTGTAAAACGGGCACAAAATGTGAGTTATTTGTCGAGAGAGAGAGAGAGAGAGAGAGAGAGAGAGATGAGTGGGGATAAGTTACTGAAAATGATAGTGTAGTTTAGGAGTAAATTTTAAGTCGTGTCGACAATCAAGAAAAGTGGACTAAAAGAGACTAAAAGATTATCCCCTTTTGTATTGGTATTAATATTTTACGCTAAAAAAGTGGATTTCATTGAATAATAGCATTAAATACAGTGACATCTATATAGCCGTCCGTATTATACCACACATTCATTCTTACCGTTAAATCCGACCAAACATTGGATACAAATCGGATGACAATCCTATTTGTACTGTCGGTGTGTTTATAAAACATAGTATTATATAATTATAGATTAAATTTAATCCTATCATTAACTATAAACGCATCGGGGCTTACAATTTGAATTGGTCCAAGGTTAAATAAACACTCTATATTATTATACTTCAATGATTAGCGAATAAATACAATAATAAACACAACAAAAATACATTTGAATACTTTTTACAACTAAATTATATTAACATTGTTTAAATAAAATATAATTAAAACCACAATCGGCTACACATTGAACGCACAGAATATACAGAATATTCTTGCGATTAAAACACTGCAAAAACCAATAGACAAACGAATGGCTGTAATAAATGGTAACGTTGTTTGTGAGCGCATTGTGTGAACACATGTGACAATACAAGTGAACGGCATTTGAATGCAGTTTGCGTTCAAAACACAACGACTTTACGAATCGTTTAATTGTTTTCAATTGAATTAAGCGTTGATTACATCACAAGAAATGGCAAACATGTGTTCACTGTCTTTCTTCTCCGCCCCCAACACAGCCCAAGACAACAGAACTCTTCGCGAAGTGAATGAGACGCTGGAGGAAGGGATCACCGAATGTGTGGTCATCGATGAGGTAATGAATGGATGTGTTGACTGATCCGCTCATCGATGGCTCACATGTTATGTTGTATTTTAGGCCCAAATCTATCCGACGATTGCTGTGCGAAACGAAGACATAATTAAGCCGTCGATTACTAACGAAAGTGTGGACAACATATTCATCACTAAAGACACCACTCTTTGGACGCGATTCGTCAGATGCGCCAAAACACGCGGTTTTGTGTCCGCACTGAAGATGATGGCCGACTACGACGACTGGCCTCACATCGAGTCCAGTCGAGCCGTCAGATTCGGCCAAAAGTTGTCCAAAACTGTCCTCTATTTGTGGCAACTTTTGCTCAGCGTTTATGTCTTCTTATATCCATTCGCTTTGGTATACATTTTTGCGTCTTTTGATTGGTTTTGATTTTAATCTTTGTTAATATATTCATGTTTTTGTCAATTGATTTAGAAATCAAACGACGAGTTGTGTCACGAATTTAGCAAATCTATGGATTGGAAGAATGGTCTGATCCGAGTGTTTGAATGGCACCCGAATGGACACAAGTGTGCCGTTTGTCACATAAATGATTGTATTTACATCTATTCGTTTGACAACACTTTCGTTCCGCTTCTCAAGCATTCGTTGCAAACGAAAGTGACGTCCATTTCGTGGAGTCCCACACAAGAGGACACACTCGCCGTGTGTTGTGAATCAGTGATCATTTTATGGACATTAGATCCGAACTCAAGACAATATCGGCCCAAAACTGAATGTATTCACATAATTAACTGCTCTATTAGTCCGTTAACTGACGCCAAGTTTGATCCGAGCGGTCGTTATTTGGCCGCTTGTGGTCCGCAGTCGTCAAAGATATCACTAATAGATGTCGACAAAAAAGAAGTGTTTAAAACTGTTCGCCGTTTTGGCACTTGTTTTACGCGAGTGTTTTGGTCTCCGGACACGACTCGACTCATGTCTACGACAACCGCCGAACACATCCGAGTCTATGAGAACAAGACGTGGTCTTCTGCCAAATGGAACCAACACTTCACCGGCATCTGTCAGACGGCGTGTTGGAGTCGACCCAATGGTCACCTACTATTGGTGGCTCTACGCGACTGCCCCTCTGTGTTCGCCATTCCCTTCTACGACAGCCCACAACCCAATGATGTCGGCGGGACTCGTAATTGTCTTGAAGTGCTCGACATTTCTCAACATGAGTTCCCGAATGGCGTTAAAGTCGGCGGAAGTATACACGATATGGTTTGGGATAAAAATAGCGAAAGACTCGCCCTTTCTTTCAAAGGTTTGTCTTATTTGGAAAACTACTGTATTAATGAATTTAGTTATTTATTAGTTAATGAATTGTTTCTTTTTGCGTACAGATAATAGCGAATGGATTGCTTTATATAAGACAGTGATTCGACCCAATTTAGAGATGACTCCAATCGGTTTTGTTCACGGATTGAAAGCCGAAATACCACTACTCCTCTCTTTCCACGACTCGTTCCGAAACGGATCTCTACTCACTGTCTGTTGGAATAGTGGTGTCGTCTCCTATATTCCTCTTCAGTTCGACACGAAGACCAATAAGTCTATGTACACGACAGGCACTCCGCGACCGTTGACATCATTTTGTGTCGCTTCGCCTAATCTGAGCACCGCTTCCATCAACACATCCCTGAGAGGAACGCCATTCAGACTCTCGAAACCACTTAACTCTCCATTAAATCATTTCTCGCCAAACGATTCTGTTTTGTCCCCAAAACGACCGCTTCTTTTCACAACTCTTGCGAACAGAGATTTCAGTTACGATTCACTCGAATAACTGATTAACCCATTAGTTGAACATTATTTGAATTATATATTTATTACACATTTTACTATAATTTTCACACAAACACTACAATCCCAATGAATTTATTTGTCCCGTTATTGTAATTAAACCATTTATAGTCTCATGTGTTTAATAAAAGCAATTTTAATATTTTCTATTGTAGTGTAAATTATTTCTATAATCAATCCTTAGTTGTGGACATTAGAGAGATTTGTTAATCAAAAATAAGTTTATTGTTCAAAAATACAAGTAAATAATGGTTAGAAAATAGATTTATAAATAATAAAACTAAAAAAGAAGTGAAATAATAGTTAATTAGTTGAACTGCAAACTGAAGGCCAGTCGATAAACTCTACTTCTGGTTGGATTCGAGTGTTCTTCGGATAATCAAAGTAATCAACAATTTTATAATTTATACATTTATCTAAATTGTCAACATTTTCGGAGTCATAACTTTGTGAATGTCTGTTAAATATAGCAATTTGTGTACAAAAGCCAACGTCAGGGTATTGTTGCGGAGGTTCGCCGACACCAGTCATTGTATAACTATATTCGGGGTATTTCTCAACAACACTTCGGCACCAATTGTCGAACTCATGTCGAGTCCACTCAAACTTGTGGTCCCAATGTCTGAGTCGTGAGGAGTCCTTCAGCTGAGGAAATACTACATTATATTCGACGTTCGGAGTCGTTATGATCACTACTTTGGGCTCAATATAACCAAAGATATTATCGGGAAGTGCTGTCAATACATCGGGTGTCAAATGTTCGATCAGTTCCACACAAGTGATGGCATCAAAGTTCTTAAGACGACTATCCTTTTGAGCGACACTTCCATTAAAGACATTCACTTTCATTGGTGTCTTCCTTTCGGCGAAGAGATAGTCATAAGGAAGGGGTCGGCACTCATTGACACACATTTCGAGTGACAAATCGTCGCAATCAATGAAAGCAATCTCTTCAATGTCTGGCAGGCCTTTGAATCGTCGCATAAGCTTTCCCTCAGCGCACCCGAAGTCGGCCACCTTTGCTATGGTTGCCGACCGTTCACTCAATACATCGAAAACAAATTGATAGCGTTGTATATAAAGGGGAGGATTAAACACAACATCACTTCCCGAGATCTGATTCTCGTCTTCACTCTTCATTGTATTAAACAGTTTTCAAACAAAAGTCAACAAAAAATAACTGAAAAAATTTTAAACTAAAAACAACGTCTCTATGAATGATAATGCGGTGGGAAATGAACGCTAATCTTGTGAATACAACAATGGGATCAAATGGATTGCAAAGTGGCGTTCAAACAGAGCTCTGGGCGTAGTTCTTGGTGTCCAACAATTTGGTGCCACACATACCACAGATACCTTTCTTATAGGCGCACGCTTTACGACACAAACAATAGTAAAACATAGCATTAATCAATCAATTCAAATGACAATTCAACTCATTGTCCATCGAGTGGTCGGCAAAGAAGCCGATCCAACCAATGGATCAATCAATTGGACACAAAGAATGGCATACATTGGCAGTAATGCGAACCCATTTGATGTACTTTTTGTTTACATATTTTACACGTTTCGACCTTAAGATAGGGTGAGAAGCGGTTCTTCTTCGACGTCAACGCCTTGTTCTCATTGATAGCTCGACCGCCACTCTCTTCGCGAGACAACATAAGACATACCATTAGTTATCTAAATCACAAATCAATGGTCAGTGAAATGAGTGATCAATACCTGTGGTGTTTCGGGCGCCGGACTTCCAGTTGTCGGGTGTAATCACTTTACCTGCGAAGACAAGACAATACCATCGGTTAGTGTGTCGTAGAGTTGATTCCGACGAGTGATACAAACCTAACTTCTTCTGGCATTTGTCGCAAACCATATCTCAATTGGATATCAATTCAAACCATAAGACAATTGAATCGATAAAACCATTGAAACCAATGAAAGCATACAAACAATCACAACATTTCACTCAATATACGAAACGCTCACAAATATTGTTATTATTTCTTCTTTTTATTTAACCCCAAATTTACCATATTTTCTGCCATAACTATTGGCAAACCAAAGGATTGCATCATTCAAACCTTATTTTAGCCCCCATTTATTTGTCACGATATATGTGAATGGCGTCCAATGTTTATAAGCAAAGCGTGTGATTGGCTGTCATTCCGCCAAATGTTTTGTGTGTTTTGTTTTGAAAACTGAATTAAACACTGATTTGAGCG